AACTAGTTAACTATAAAATACATTGTACAATCTCATTTTATACCAAATATCTAGGGTAGGCAAGTGTAGTGTTTATAGTTGCCATCTTATTGATTTAAACTTGGGGCAACCAGATATACACACAGACCCTATGCTTCATAGAGTGTTCAAGGTTGTCAAGTTCAGAAGTGGATCACCAAGAATATTTTAGGAGGTAACTCTGGGTCGGTTCAAACCATCAACCTTTTGTACTATTAGTCAAGCCCTTAACCCTCTGCACCACCCAAGGACTCCTAGACTGGTGTATAGAAATCAGATTTTATTAGTGGTTGCCTGGGGCAGATGGGTGGTTGTTCAGTGTCATTGCATAAGTCCCATCTCATAGTGACTGTAGGCACAACAGAATAAAATGCTGCCTCACTCTTCTCCATACTTACATTGTCTGCTGTACTGAAGGGGCAGGTGGGAGGGTGGATAAAAGGGAACTCTGAGGTTGTGTATGGAAAATAGAGGATGGTTGAAGTGGGTGATGGTAATGTTTGAACAACGTGATAAATATAACTAGTGTCCCAAGGTGGTGTCCATGAAGAGTTCTGAAAAGATGTGAATTGCTGCATACATATATACCCCAAATAATAGTAACAACCCTAACTAATCTAATTCATTGTCATTGAGTCAGAACCAACTCATAACTGACTCTCCCATGGGTCTCTGTTGTTGTTGTTAAATGCCATTGAGTTGAGTACGATTCATAGCAACCCTATAAACAAAAGACTAGAACTCTGTTCTATAACTATCATCATTTCTCTGTGTTCATAGAGTTTCCAGAGACATGTGGTTTAGGAAGTAGATGCCACTCCTGCTTCCAAACCTGAATCAATCTGGGAGCTCCACCAACTACTGTCCATGATTGGTAGCCATTATGGTGCTTAACACACACACCAGTGACACAATGGTCAGTGTCACAGCAACCCCAAGTTACTTTAGTAAGCAAACTGACACTTAGAAGACTGTTCATCCCAAACACAATTAACACCAGCTCACATATGAATGTGAATGAAAAAAAAAAAACCAAAAAAACCCACAAAAACAGTCCACACTCAACTCTCACCAAGACAAGAAAAACCACCTTCCAGAACCCAACTACTTCACACATGAGCCTCCAAACAGGAGACTTAGTTGGACCCAACCACCTTGTAAATCATGTCCAAAAATGCCCATCTTTCTCCTGAGGAGTTCCTAGGAGATTTGAACCACCAGAGAGACACTACTTTGGGTTAGTAACTACTCCTTATGGACTAGGTCACCACTGGGATGTCTGGTCAGTACTGAAAGGAGCCCTAGCTAAATAATATCCCAAAGGCCTGAATTTAGGGCTCTGTATATTCTTATAGTTCTCATAAAGAGATGGGTTGGCATGTTGACGGCAACAGTATGCTTGAATATAGTGGAGAAGATGAGGAAGATATAGGATCAGACAAAGTTTCAAGACTGTTTATAGGATCAGTGAGTAAGACTTGACTTGATGGCGCTCAACAACAACAATAACAAACAACTCAATAAAAACAACACAGCAGTCAGCAAGACCTGGCAAGGGGCCCCAAGAACAAGTCACAGAGCTGCCACTGCTCACTGGAATATCCTGTGGTGATGGGACTGTTCTAAATCAATGGCATCCAGTTCACGGTTCAGCAGCAACTAGCCACAGGGGCTATTTCAATTGATTAGAAGTTAATAAAATTTATGAAATTTCCACAGCTGGATTTTCAACCTGTCAAAGGCTCAGATGTGGCAACCACACTGGATAGCTCACACTAGTACACTTCTGTCATTGCACCACCCAGAGAGTCCCGCATAATGATACTTCCGCTTCGTGGAACTCATTTTTAAAGAAGGACATTATTTTAGATCTCTGTTTATGTTGACTTGATGGTGAACAAATGAACCAAAGAGAAGGTTTTCAGAGAACTTCTAGATGAATATGACAGGCAAAATCCATAGATGGAAAGTATATTGAATTTAGAAATGCATCTCACCAGGCTTTTCACCAGGCTTATGGACTAGATAGAGGAGAGATAGGCCACGTGTGTGTTTCATGGGGATTCCTAAGCTGTCCCCTGGGGGCCACTGACAAGAAGCCTCAGTAGAGCACTGAGTATGTGTGTGGAGCAGGCAGAGGCTTGCTCACAACATCTGTGTTTAACACTAAGATGAGAGGCACAGAGAATCTGTGGATGATCGACCATGTCAGAATGCAGACAGGTCTGGAAGACAGGTAAAGTTAGGGAAGGGAGGCTTAATGTGTATAAACAGGAAGTCTGAAGAGCCAACTGCTTCAGTTCAGGATGGAAATAACTTAGCTTCAACAACATAAGCCACAAAGAAGTGGGGGGTGAGAGGGAGAGGGAGAGAGGAAGGGGGGAAGGGAGAGCGAGAGGGAGAGAGGGCGAGAGGAAGGGGGTGAGGGAGAGGGGGAGAGAGAGAGGGACAGAAAGAGGGGGAGAGAGAAAGGGAGAGGGAGAGAGATAGAGGGAGAGAGAGGGAGAGGGTGAAAGAGAGAGGGGAGGGTGAGAGGGGAAGGGAGAGAGGGAGAGAGCAAGAGAGAGGGGGAGAGAGAGGGGGAGAGGGAGAGAGGGGGAGGGTGAGAGGGAGAGAGAGGGCAAGAGGGAGAGGGGGAGAGAAAGAGGGAGAGGGCAAGAGGGGGAGTGTGAGAGGGGCAGGGAGAGAGGGAAAGAGGAAGGGGAGAGAGGGAGAGGGAGAGGGAGAGGGAGAGAGGGACATGGCAAGAATGAGAGGGTGAGAGGAAGGGAAGGAGAGGGAGAGAGGAGGAGGGAGAGAGGGGAAGGAGGAGAGAGACACAGTGTGTGAGTATAAAGGGGCAGTTGATGCAACTACTTAAGTGAGGCAAGTAGTTAAGTGCTTAGTTGTTAAACAAAAGGTTAGAAGTTTGAATTGATTCAAATGGCTCATCCATGACCAAAACAAAGGCAGCATGCACCAATAATCAATAACAAAGGGAACAGTCACCAATAACGAGTAATGAAGGGAACAGACACTGATAATCATGAACAAAGGCAGCATGCACCAATAATTAATAACCAACAGACACCAATAACCCATAACAAAGGCAGCATACACCAATATTCAGTAAGCAAGAGAACAGACACGAATAACCTACAACAAAGGGAAGAGACACCAATAACCAATACAAAAGCAGCATGTACCAATAACCAAATCTTGTGAACCTTGGACTTGGAGCCCAGTATGAAATAAGGAGCTGTGCCCTGCTCTAAGATGCCGCAACACCCATTCAAAGCAGCGTGTCATCAGCTAACCTCTTCCAGTGGAGCATCTCTGCCTGCGTCCTGAAAAGGACCTAGCCCACAACCACTGAGATGATCTTGGACTCATGGTGACCATGTAAGACAGAAAAGAACTGGTCCACATATTTCTAAGACTGTAAATCTTGAAGGTAACGACTTTCATTCTTCTCGTGTGGGTTGGCTGGTGGATTTGAACCACTGACCTCTCAGTTAGCAACTCAACAATTAACCCAGTATAGCACAAGGGCCCTTGTCCTGTCTCCTGTTTTGGTCAATATGTAAAGTGGAGGAGATCTGTTGCAAATGCAGCTCATACATTGCCCTCATTTCTGTAGGTGGTGACTGAATGTTTGGAACCAGTTCCAAATCCCTGTTCAAATCCTTAGAGGGACCTAAGGAGGAAGGCATAGTAATCTGCTTCCAAAAACATCAGATACTGAGACTCTGTGAAGCCTATGGCCAAAGGATCCTGGACGTGCCCAATCTATTCTGAAAATCCTGTGGTGCAGAGCTCTACACCAGTACAAGTGGGGTTGCCTGAATCAACTAAACAGAAACTTGCTTATCTGCTATGTATGTAGAAGCTTTAGGGAGTTCTGGTAGCTGAGTGGTAAGGAGCTGCACTGCCAATCCAAAGGAATGCAGTTCAAATCCACCCACTGCTCTGTGGGAGAAAGATGGGCAATCTTCTCCCGTGCAATTTCCAGCCTCTGATAATCCCCCAAGGGTTAGCCATGAGTTGGGTCCAATTGGATGCCCCATATGCTGTTAGGGACTGTTCCAGGGTACTGAAGAGCAATGGTGTCACTCTGGAGACTAAGGTGCACCTGATATAGGCCATGGTCTTTTCAATCACTTGCTATGCATCAGAGAGCTGGACAATGACTAGGGAGGATAGAAGGATAATTGATGCCTTTGAGCTGTGGTGCTGGAGAAGAGTATTGAATGTACCATGGACTGCTAAAAAACCTAATAGGTTCATTCTGGAGAGGGTTAAACTGGGCTGTTTCTTGGAGGAGAGGATTCTGAAGCTTCATCTGATATACTCTGGACATGTTGCAAGGAGGGACCAGTCCTTGGAGAGGGACAGCACAGAAGAGGAAGACCCTCTGTGAGGTGAATTGATTCAGTGACTGGAGTAATGGGGGTGAGAGTGTCAGAGACAGTGAGACTGGCATAGGACAGAGCAGGGTTTAGGGCTCTATGGGTCACTATGAGTTGCAAGCGACTTGACGGCACATAACAACAGCATCAGCAATATCCCCATAGACGCACACACATATGTATACCTTGACGTATCAGGTAACACCAAAGGCCTCATTTAGCTGCTACAAACCAGGCGTGGTCTTCAGTTCCTGTGCTCATAGCCAAGGCATTCCTGTGTCAGTTCTCACCACTGTTATAAGGTGCTTCCTACCAGATGTAACCCCCCATCTTCTTTTTTCAGAAGGGTCACCGCAAATCAGCATGACCCCCACTTGATGTTTCTGTTCTCATCCATAACCAACCATGCCAAGGAAAAGTTGTACGGTCGAAGTGGGCTGTTCTGTCTGTTCCCTCACTCTAAGGACCAACTCTATGTAGAGATTTGTTCAGTGTGTTTTGTGGTTTGTTTCGGTGTTTTGTTTTTTTTTTCTCTCAAGGGCTCTAAGTAGCTCAGATATCACACCAATAAACCTGATGGAAACCACCGCGTACCTGTGATATTGTCGTAGCTCCGGAAATTCATCTCGATGTGGTCCCACTCCAGCACCATGCAGTTCTCCATGCTGGGCTGAGCGATGGCCACGTACACGTCGTTCTTGGAGTTGAACGTGTCCACTGAAACCGACTGGTAGGGCAAAGTCTGGTGAACAACAAAATCTGGAAATGGGTGATTGGGGGGAAAAAAAGAAAGAAAGAAAATGTTCATGAAATCTCTGTGAGAATGTCCAGCCACCTGAAGTTTCTATCCTGTTTACTATCCATTATAGAAAGGTAGAGAAGTGTGAAAATGGACTAATATAAATGACAGTATTGTTGACTGTAGAAGCTTCTAGAAGGATTCTGACTTGCACAAGATTGTTAGACTGAAGCCATACTTTGGAACACAGTTTCCTTCAGATAAGTTGTTGTGTACAGTTGAGTCAGAAACAACTCATAGTTGACTCTCTAGTGGGTTTTTAGAGGCAGTAAATCACACGGGAGGAGACTACCCATTCTTCTCCAATGGAGCAGCTGGTGGATTTGAACCACGTGCCTTGGGGTTACAGCACAGCTCCTTACCACAAGGCCACCAGAGTTCTCCTAGATAAGTCACTTCACAAATTAGGCTAAAGGAGCTCAGTGGTTTAAAGGAATTTGATGATGAAATGACTATATGAAATACAATGTGAATGAAGGGGGGAGCCCATAAAAATTTAAAAAATAGTATTTAAAAAAAGGGAATTCAATGAGCCCTTATTTTCAATAAGATAGAAAGGATATCATTCAGCAATAGTTTTGACATTGTCACCAAGTATCTGTCAAGGGCAGGTGTTGTGGGCACATTTGTTTGATAAACACTAATTTTTTTAACTTTTTTAAATTTTATACTGGTTAACATATAAAGTTCATAAAGTTTGTATACATTGTTTTGTACACTAGATCTTTGTGCTTTCATTTACCCATGCTTCCCTCCACCCATCCACTGTGTAACCTTATGATTAAGCCCCACCTCATTGGACCCCCATATTCATTCTACAATAATAGTCTTATACAGTATTTGTCCTTATGAGACAGAATTAGTTCACTTAGCCTAATGCTCTCCAGTCCCTTCCATGTTAGGTAGTAATTTATAACATCATTGCTCCTGCATGCTGCAGAGTATTCCATTGTGTGAACGTGCCAAAATTTCTCAGTCCATTCCTTTGTGGTTAGGCATTTGGGCTGTTTCCATGTGGTAAATAGCTATGGTGAATAATGCTGCTATGAACATTGGTGTACAAGTCTCTGTGTCTCAGTTCTCATTTTCTCAGCGTATATTCCAAGCAGTAGAATAGCTGGGTCATGTGGAATTTTTTATTGTCAGCTTTTTGAGGAAATGCCAAACTGCCTTTCAAAGTGCTTATATAATTTTACAGTACCACCAACAATGTATAAGAGTTCCTATCTCAGCACATCCTCTCCAATATTTATTATTTGCTGCCCTGCTAAACTTTGCCACTGCTACTGGAGTAAGATGGTATCTCATTGTGGTTTTGATTTGTATTTCTCCTACTGCCAGTGATTTCGAACATTTCTTCATGTGTTTGTTTGTCATCCAAATGTCCTCCTCTGTGAAAAGTCTTTCCATGTCTTTACCCCATTTTGTAACTGGGTTCTCAGTCTTTTTCTTCTGGAGTCCCTGTAGGATTCTGTAAACTTTTGTTGATGAGACCCTTGTCTGAGATGACATTGCCAAATGTTTGTTCCCAGTCGGTAGGTTTTCCTTTTACAAACGACAACCTCTTCAACAAATTGTGCAGGAAGAACTGTACTGGTACCTGTAAAATGCTGAAACAGGATCCACATCTCACATTATACACTGAAATCAACTCACAGTGGATCAGAAATCTTGGAATAAAGCCCAAAACCATAAAGCTCATAAGAGACAAACTGGACTGCCAAATACAGATAGAAATGTACAATTTAAAGAGGATAAAACTGATAAAACCTTCTAAAGATTAAATTTGTATTCATCAAAATCTTTTTCTGACAGGGAAAACACTTTATTTTTGCTGGGAGCTGCCATCAAGCTGGCCCTTGACCCAGAGTGAGCCCAGGCATTCAGCTCATCTCCAATCAACTCATTACTATTGGTTAGAACCAACTCATAACCAACCTTCCAGAGGGTTTTCAGAGGCTGTATATTGCAAATGAGATTGCCCATCTTTCTCTTAGAGGTCATGTGGTGGATTCAAACCACGTGCCTTTAAGCTGGCAGCACAAGTCTCTATCACTAGGCCACAGAGTGCAGGCTAAACTGGAGATCACAGTGTTTTCATGGACTTTCAGAAGTCGACGCCCAGGCTACTCTTCCCAGTCTGTCTTATCTGGAATCAGAACTAGAGCTTACCGAACATCACAGCCATGTACAAGCCTCCACTGACAGATGAGTGGTACATGGGGAACACTGGCCAAGAAGGAACCCAAGCTTCCCACACTGTTGTTGTTATGTGTCTTCAAGTCATCTGTGACTCACAGTGACCCTATGGATAATAGCTCTGAACCCAGCCCTATCCTGAGCCAGTCTCACTGACTCCAACGCACCTACACTCATTATCCCAGTCACAGTGTCAATCCATCTCATCTGGTGTCTTCCTTTCCTGCGCTGTCCCTCCACTCTTCCAAGCATGATGTCCTTCTTTAAGGAATCATCTTTCCTGGCCAAATGTCCAAAATATGTGAGACAGAGCTTCACAATCTTTGCCTCCGAGGAGAAACTTGGTTTCACTCCCTCCGAGACAGAACTGTTGTTCTTTTGGCAGTCCATGGCATGTTCAATACTCTCCTCCAGCACCACAACTCAAAGGCATCAATTCTTGTTCTGTCATTCTTAGTCATTCTTCAGCTTTCTGATGTATAGCAAGTTAATTGTGAAGGCCTGGATCAGGCGCACCTCAGTCTCTAGACTGACACCACTGCTTTTTAGCACTTTGGAGAGGTCCTTGACAGCAGACTTCCTCAGGGCAATTCATCTTTTGTTTTCTTGACTGCTGATGCTAAAATTGTTCATTGTGGAGCTGAGCAAGCTAAAATTGTGAACAATCACAATCTCTTCTCCATCTACCGTGATACTGCCAATTGGCCCAGCGGTTAGAATCTTGGTTTTCTTGATGTTGAGCTTCAATTCATATTGAAGACTATAGTCCTTGACCTTCTACAGTAAGTGTTTCAGGTCCTCTTCAGTTCCAGCAAGTAAGGTTGTGTCATCTGCATAACATAGGTTGTTGATGAGTCTTCCTCCAACCCTGATGCTTATATTCCTCCTCATAAAGCCCAGCCTCCTGATTATCTGTTCTGCATACAGATTGAAAAGCTATGGAGACAGGACACATCCCAGAGGCACCCCTTGCCTGCTTTTGAACCATGCAGTGTTTTCCTTGTTCTGTTCTGAGGACTGCTTCCTGGTCCAAGTATATGTTTTTCATGAGCCTCCCACATAGAAAGTGGAAATTCGACCACTGAACCTCCACTGCCCTTGGGCTGCAGTTCCAGCCTTCTCTCAAAAGCTCCTGTGGTCAAGAAATTTGCCTACTTCTATTTGATGTGGTGCTTCTCAAACTTGTTGAAAAACAGAACCAGTTACCACTTGTGATTAGTCACCGTAACTCTGCACGGTCCTGGCTGGGAAACGCTGCCACTATAAATGCAGAGCCAAAGTCAACTCCCCAGAGTGTAAATGCACAGTCAGAACAAAGCACAACCTCCTCTGAGGTCTCCAAAGTTCAATAGCCTGACACAGAGGAGCGAGAATGTTTGCCAAATGCCGTGGTGACCAGTGACTGGGCCTCACATCTCCAGTGCCTGCATCTCAACAGTACGTGCAGGTCTGCAGGATTTTCCTAGGCGTGTGCGGCCCCTTCTAGTTTAGCACACGTTCTGCTCTTACACTCCATGAGAAATCAGTACTACACCAACCACATTAGGGAGCTCTAGGGGCTTAGTGGGAGAGTTGTGCTGCCAACCCAAAGACATGTGGTTCGAATCCACTCTCCTGTGAGCTTTTCTGTCTCTGAAAACCCACTGGAGGTCTAAGTCAATTGCTACTTGATGGTACACAACTACCACCTTCCACCAGACTCACTGTTCTAGACTTTGGTTTACCAGTTGCCATCAGGTCAACTGGGTGATGGACATTCCTTGAAACTGTGCTTCCTGGGGTGACCAGTGGCTGATCTGGGGGGAGTAGAATGCCACCTCTTTCTTCAGAGGCACTTCTGCGTGGACTAAAAAAAAGCACTGTTTCTGGCTAGAAGCCCAGCACTTGAGTCATTTTCACTACCCACCACAAAACCAATTGCCAGTAACTCAGGGTGACCTTAGGTGTTACAGAGAACTGCACTCCTAGTAGCCAATGATATAGGAAGTCATTATGGTAAATTAAAGGTCATACATCTCCAAAGGTTCAAATCCACCAGCAGCCCCACAGAAGATGGGCATTCTCCTCCCTCACAATTGTGGTTGTTGTTACTAGGTGTCATTGATTTCCTGTGACTCATAGCTACCCTATGTGCAATAGTTTTGAACCCTTCCCTATCCTGAATCAGTTTCATTGACTCCAACCACCTACCCTCATCACTCCGGCTACTTTATCAATCTATCTCATTCGATGTCTTCCCCTCCTACAATATTGCTACACCCTTCCAAGCATGATGACCTTCTCCAAGGACTCGTCCACATGCCCAAAGTATGTGAGACAGAGCTTCAAAATCCTATTCTCCAGGGAGAAACTTGATTTCACCCTCTCTAGGGTAGACCTGTTGGTTCTCTTAGCAGTCCATGGTATATCCAATACTCTTCTCCTGCACCACAACTCAGAGGCATCAGTTCTTCTTCTGCCATTGTCTTTAGTCATTGTCAAGCTCTCTGATGCACAGCAAGTAATTTCTAAGATAATGGCCAGGATCTGGCAGATCTTAGTTTCTAAAACTGGCATCACTGCTTATGAGGACTTTAGAGAGGTGGCCTTCTCTGTCAGAAGTTGTGTGGGGAAATGGTAGGGATGATAGTACCTCCTTGGGCCATCTGATGGAGTCAGAGGCTGAAGTCCAGAAAGGGGGAGTACCTGGTTATGGCCACACACCATGTGAGGTGGTCAGGGTATCCCCCAAAGAAGGGAGAGCATCCTGGTGAACAACTGG